CAAGAAGAGACATTCACGGGAGCGATGAACTTCAATTCCAGAAAAAAACGAAGTGAACCAAGGTCCTTAAGCGAAAACTTAACACTGAGTAATTGAACTACTGCTTGAGTCTCACACGATGAATACCCAGTGATGATGTCATCAACGTATACTAATACAAACATATTACCAACACCTCGTTTATAAACAAAAAGGGATGCTTCTGCTCGAGATGCTGTAAAACCTATCTGCACAAGGCTGTCACGGAGCTTAGCATGCCAATTCCTGGGCGTCTAGCGTATTCCATACAAGGCCTTTTGAAGCTTGCAAACTAGAGTAGATCCATCTTCAACAATTTGTTCAAACCCTGGTGGTTGATGTATGAACACGTCTTCAGTGAGATCACCATTGAGGAACGCATTGTTCACATCAATATGCCTCAACTCCCAGTCATTAGACACTGCCAGTGCCAAGACTGTATTAAGCGAAGAAAATTTAACAACCAGGCTGAATGTATCAAGGAAATCATGCCCCTGGTATTTGCGAGTAGCCTTTTGCAACCAGTCGCGCCTTATAGCAGTGTATGGAACCATCTGGGTTACGCTTTAGCTTAAACAACCATTTTCACCCAATAGAGCACGACCTTCTGGTAGTTTGACCAGTTCCCACGTGTTGTTCCTTTGAAGTGCTTCGAGCTCAGATTGCACAACCTCCTTCCACTCGACCAATTATAACGCCTCTTGAACTGTGGAGGGTATCTCATTATCAAAGTAACTAGAATACATCTTAGGTTTGAAAATACCACATTTGATGCGTGTCATCATCGGATGATGATTTTCTTTAATCGGTAATGGAGCTAATGGAGTAGGTGCACCAATAGGCAACACTAATTTTCATGCTCCCGATTTGAGCTAGTGATTGTATCAGTGTCATTTGTAACAGGTACACTGGATTCTACCCCCAAGTCAGCAGTAGGAACTGATCCTTCATCTGATGAGGTCCCAGCATTATTACTATGTGATTCAATCATATTCTGGCATAATTGTTATGCGGCTTCATCATTGTCCTCAATAAATACAGTATCCTGATGGTTCGTAGGCACAATATCACGAACCAACTTTCTTGCATCTGCCACGATCGAAATGTTTTGCGAGTGAATACCTTATGAACCACGTGACGAGAAGGCTGTATCATTCTCTGCAAATGGAAAAAATGGTTCGTTAAATAACACATGTCTAGAGATGTAAACTCTACCATTGTTTGTCAAGCACTGGTAGCCCTTGTGTTGAGGGCTAACGCCGAGAAATGTGCAAGATTGTGATCGAAAACATAATTTAGTATTCTGGAAAGGTCTGAGATGCGATAAACACTGGTATCCAAAGACCTTGAGGGAAGCATAGTCCGGTTTTCTCTGAAACAGCTTCTTGTACGGAGTTATCCCTCCAAGCACAGCTTTTGGAAGACGATTTATCAAGTGAACAGCAGTTACAAAGACATATGACCAGTACTGCATACGCAATGAAGCTTGGGCTAGCAGAACAAGACCTAATTCAACAACATGGCGATGCTTGCGTTCGACCATCCCATCATGCTCAGACGTGTGAGGGTAGATAAATCGATGCACTATCCCTGATTTAGCAAGTAAGGCAGAAAATACTCGATATTCTCCACCCCAATCTTACTGAAGAGCTTTGATTGAGCCACCAAATTGATTTGCAACTAACTTGTGTAATCCATTGAATGCTTCAACAGCTTGAGCTTTATCTTTGAGTAGGTAAAGCCAAGTAAATCGAGTAAAGGCATCTACAAAGGTTACATAATAACGATAACCATTTGAAGCAACATGGGGAGGTCCCCAAAGATCAGAGAAAACTAGCTCAAATAGTGTACTGTATTGAGTACTGGATGAAGAAAACGGGTGCTTGTGACTTTTACCCATAAAGCAAGCCACACAAGTTTTATTAATATCAAAATCAAGTTCTTTATCAATTATACTAAAAGCAAAACTAGATGGATGCCCCAACCGTCGATGCCACAGCTCAGATTGAGAAGCAGTTGCAAGGTGAGCTTCAGCATTCTTCCTTTCTGCACCAAGCCCGCTGAGGGAAAAATGTATAAGCCTCCTTTCTCTTCACCTTGTAATAAGATCGCCTTGGTGAGTTCATCACGAACAAGGCCTTTTTCAGCATGGAATTCAAGGTAAACCTTATTGTCCCTAGCAAGCTTAGATACCGAAAGTAAATTTTTGCTTATGTAAGGTACATATAATAACTCGTTCAAGATCAAGGTTCTTGAAGAGGTAAAAGTAAGAGGAAGTTAAGCAGTGCCAATGTTATGAATATGAATAGAGACCCCATTACCAACAATGAGTTTACCTAGACCTCAAAATTCAGTAGAGTTCGAAACATTAGCTGCATCTGAGGTGATATGGTGCGTGGCTCCAGAATCGACCACCCAATGGTCATTGGATATGGAAGCAGTATTGGCTTGCACATTGTTTGCTGCCTCTGAGTGACCCTTGCAGCATTCACAGCCCAGTCTCGAAGTGTCAGCAGCTGAGTAGTGAGCATTGATAGACTGACATTTACGAGCATTGTGAGTTTGAGTCAGACGTCACACACATGAACTCCTCATCAAACTGGTGTTAGCAGCGATTGATCAGGTGACCAACTTTGCCATAAAGTTGGCATTGAACTCTGGCTCGCCCTCGACCTCGACCACCAGTTCTACTAGAAACTGATGATCGTGTAGGTTTAGAGTCTCGCCTCCCATTGGAAAAGGAGTCATGAACTTCCTCTCTTTCAACTACATTGGCAGCCATAGGTACATAGTCGAATTGCTCATTAAATCCGGCTAGTTGTGCTTCAGTATATAACAGAATAGTATATAGACTATCCAAAGACAACGTTTCCTTCATTGTGGTGATAACTGCCATAAACGGTTTATACTCCCTGGGCAGACCTTTCAAGATGCTTGCAACATGGCCAACATGTGAAACATCACTGCCACACGACGCAAGTGCGTCACACACTTCTTTCACTCGAGTGAGATACACCCGGATACTGTCACTGCCTTTCTTGAGTGACTATAGTTTGCAGTGCAAGCTCATGGCAGTAGTAGTAGACCTGCTCGCAAAGAGTTGTTGGACAACATTCCACACTGCAGCTGTTGATTCAGCACCCACAAAGTGAGGAAGCAGATGGAGGCTAATGGTCAATAGGAGCCAGGAGGCCAGCACACTATCCTGCGTTACATAATCATCGAATACATCATTGGCGCGAGTTGCACCAGTATCATCAAGTATTGTCTCCGGTGGTGGCCTCAGCGTTCCAGTCAACTAGCGTTCAAGACGGTGACTCCTTACCGTAAGCAGAATTTACTGCTTCCACAGCAGGAAGTTTATCTCATCAAGAAGCACATTGATTTTCTTGTGAGAGAAGCCCGTACTTGTGAACGACTCCATGAAGCTCCAAGCCAGGACGCGCAGCCACAGACGCGAATCAAGAAGCCCAAGACCGATCGACGAAAGATACCATGTTGAAGAACAATATACTGTGAAATGTATATTGAATTCATACCATTCTCATTTACAAGCATACCAGCTTTATAGCTAGTGTTAAGCTAACAACCACACTAACAGCGCAACAACTTTTGGCGACTAAACTAACCGAATGCTATTAGCCATGCTATAATACACGCATGTTCACAGCAAGCAGTTCTGCTAACAGTTAAACATAAAATCAAGCATTTCAAGCCACAAACATACATATAACTCAAAAACATGCTTTCAAGCTATAAACTACAACAAGACATCATTCTTATTATAGTCATGATATTACAAAGGATTAGAAATATATTATCTTACTTAAATTTAACCAAAGAAGACTTTTGGTTCAAATTCAATCTTCTTCTTACTTCTAGGTCTAGGTTTTTTTTTGTCTTTCTCTAATATACTAAATAATATCAAAGAAAAATGGTACATAGAAGTACAGTTGTGACGGCCTTGATTTATTTTAAAAATATTATATGCTTGGACTTGTCCACAGATTAAGCCTAGTCGCAAAGTTATTAAAAGCATATATTTTTTGAACATAAACTTAGATCGATTGAACATGTTTTAACAACTATTTTCATTATTCATATATTATAAAAAAACATATAAAAGAATACGAAAACGACTATAAATTATCATAACATGGACCGTACATTTATTTAGTGTATAACAAGCCGTACTACTCACGGCATTTTATTTTGATTTCATTTTACTTTTCTAACAGTGATGGTTATCGTCTTTCTTAACAAGCAAAAGGAAGCGAGCCTACGTGCTAATGACTTTGACAGTCGAAAAACTTCAATATTATACTGATAAAGAAAAAGAACGTCTTGGATCTATAAATCGAATCACAACAAACGGTGGTAACAAAATAATAATAATAATAATAATATAGTTGAATTCATGAGCAATTTATTTAATATTTAGGGTACCTTATCATGTGTTTTGTATTTATCTGTACAGCAAGAAGAAAACGTACCTTTCATCTAAAACAACTGTAATAGCTTATCATATATTTTGGTCAACTTCTCCGCCAACTTCAACTTGGGGAAGATACACTTCTTTTCGTTTGTGAAGTTATCCTTTTCTCGACTAATATAATAATAAGCCCTTGAGGTATTTTAGTTTATTCAGATAGGCCCTTATACTTTTATTAGACTCAATTAAACACTTACATTTTAATTGGTACTCTAATCTTTAACTTGTATCCAAATAAATCCTTGACTCTTTTTTTGGTATAAAAGAGAGACAATTCATATTGCATAGGAATCGTTCTTGAGAAAAAAACATCCGAGTTATCCTCTTGAATAAATTGTATTATATCAGTTTATTAATTTGCTACAGAATCAGTCTAATAAATCTTCACGTACAACATAAGAGCACTATAACATAACTACATAAGAACACTTTCTAACTTTTTAATATATGAACGAAAATCTCAAATTTCATTAATATTCCAAAAGTACATAATTGGAGGAAATTAAGAAAAGAGTTCTCAATAACCTCAGCTTTAGCTACGCTCGACTTATTGCTAATTACATGTCGATTCAAACTAATGCCATGTACATTAAACGTGGACCGGTGTGGAGCTTGGGGGAGTCGGTGCAGATGAAACCTCGTTACCGACCCGTTTCCCACGTTCGGAACGGCTGTTTTCAGCAAACTTGACACTTCCTTCATGCAAGCCCTTTTGTTTCTCATCCTCATTCCATTCCGACATGTAATAGTGCTCTTCAGTGGATTTTAGAGGGTCTTTCGAAGGAGGAAGAAACATGCTTCCCCACTGTGGGAAGTGCAAAAACGCCACGGGTATCGTGCAAACAACGGCCATAGCACCCATCAATGAGAGGCCGGTGGCCGTCGAGAATCTCGAGCTAGAGAAAAACACTAACTGAGTCAAACCCGACCCGAAGTTCCCTCCGGCGCCGGTGAGACCCGATAATAGTCCCAATGATCGACGTGAAACAAATGGGACGACCCCAAAAGTTGCACCGCATGCAGCTTGGGTCCCGAGCGAGAAGAGGATCATTGCTAAGATGGCAACGGGAAGTGAATCGGCTTGGCCGAGCCAGATGCAGAAGGCACCTCCTAGGGTCTGGAAGAACCAAAGGATCCATAGCCTGCCTCTCATGCCAAACAATCTCGCTGCTACATCAGAGGCATAACCGCCGAAGGGACGAGCAAAGAAGTTGGCCATGCCGAAGCTTGCTGCTATAGTCCCAGCAGTGTGGAGTTTAAGATTGAATCTGTCGGTACATACAAAATTTCATATAGTTATAAGCAATTGCATATACGAGTACGACTATTATATATATAAGATTTAGTACCTGTCATAAAAGTATCCTGAGATGACATTGTTAATAGTCAATTCAATGCCCATTGAGAACCCATAAAGAAGGAAAAAGATCCATGTTCTATAGTTTGTGACGGCATATCGAAAAACCTGACAAAGGGAAGCAAATCAGCACCATATTGGGATAATTTAGTTATAGATGATAGCAAGTTCAAAGAAACATTTACCTTGGAGAACTTATCTTTGGAAACTTGACCCTTCTTTTGAAGGGCTCTAAGATTTCCATCAGGCAAGTCTTGGCCAAGGGTTAAGACCAGGATGCCCATAATGACATGAAACCAGCCAGGGATGAAAAAGGCAATCCTCCAGGCAGTGAAAGGGGTTGCACCAGCGAGCTTGATTAAATGAAAAGCTAAGGGCATAAAGAGTTGAGTGACTCCACCACCCATGTCACCCCATCCACCAGCACACCCATTGACAAGCCCTATGATCTTGCCGTTGAACATTATCGTCGTCCAGTACTGACACGAAACGAACGTCGCGAGGCAAAAACCGATCATGAACCGAACCGCCAAATAGCCCTGGGCATCCGAAACAAATGACATGCAGAAAACAGTTGGGGCTGATAGCATCAGAAGAAATGCAGTCCCATATCTTGGACCAATTAGGTCGCAGACTGCACCCATAACCAGCCTGGATAATATACTTCCAGAAACTGAAGCAACACCGGCATTACCAATATCTGCTTGCGTTAAATCCAGATTATCTCGAATGACGGGAACAAGGGGTGCAGCAGCAAAAGTAGAAATGAAACAAGTGAAAAAGGAGATCCAAGCAAGGTGAAAGGTTCTCATGTGAGGCTTAGCAAATGATAATGGTTTGAAAACTGTGGCCCTATGCTCTGAATCAACGGGTAGAGCAAATTTTGCCATATTGTTATCAGTTGTTGAAACCGAGAAGGCAAAAGTTTGCTCTCTGCCCGTGACTCCATGCATGGAAGTCCCTATAGAACCTTCATTCTCAGCCATTTTCTTTTTCTTTGATTCAAAGAAGATAACAGTTTTCTTTTTTCGTTTTTTTTGGATGTTGCTTGAATGAATGTATTGGATTTGGGGGAAGGTATGGTATTTATAATTGAGCTAACCCGAGGAACCTGCACATGGTGGGATATTGTTCGATCAGAAAAATGAACTTAAAAAAACAATGAAATGAATTTAAATTTTGTTAAATAAAATTATGAGTTCAGACTTGAAAAACTATTTCAATAGAAATATAATGTAAATCAATTTTTTGTGTATAAAAATTATTTTTGAAAATTGAGATATATTTCAACTATGAGGTATGAGAGTAGATTTTAAATTTATAGATCATGTGTTTCGTCCTTATCTAAATTTTTTTAGTACTATTTATTTAACGAAATATAAATTTATTAAAAAATATATTTTGAACTCAATAAAAGAGAAGCTTTGGAGCTCCAAATAAGAATTCCATTGGGGGTGTGGGTCGGGAGATTGAGAAAATAAAGGAAAATATCCCCTTTTTAAACTCATATCGACGGCCATAATTTTAACATTATTTACTATATGAATGACGTCTTATCACAATAAATTTATTTATTTTATTTAATCAAAAAAATTATTTCTTTTATAGTTTAATCCTTCATTTTTTAATTTTAACATAATTGAGATTCAATCTCTATCACATTTTATACGACCATGATATTAAGGTATGAAATAAAAGAAAATTGTTGCCAGATATATGATAAAAAAATTTGTTTAACTACAAGTATTTTATCTAATATATATTTTTAATTTGATTTTACAATGACCCATTATAGGGACGACTCTCACAATCATGTTTGTTCTATTTCCAAATAATTCAAATTTCTAACATTATTTAAGGGATTTAATATTTTATCATATTAAATCAACTAGTTGTTTGTGATATAAAAATTTAGGGTAAAGTACATAAAATTTCCCTTGACTACATGATATTTTGTTGAGTCCTCCGACTATTAAAAGTTATAAAATGGTCACTCGACTATAGGACATTGTTTAGTTGAGTCCATCGACTATTAAAAGTTACAAAATGGTTGTAACACCCTTAACTCATATCCGACCCGAATACAAGTATGAGGTGTCACATTGACTTTTCAAAACCTTGACTCTTATAGAAAATCCCGGGAATTTTTAAAACTTTCATTAAAACGAAATACTTTAATTTACATAAGACCATAAAATACAAAATCAATCAGAGTATTCGTAATTAACACTTATTACATGCCAACACTCTATACATAACCAAGTACATACTTTGTCAATTACTTATGATCTGATCTCTTAGTAGTATTGCTGTCCGTGCTACTTCTATTTCCACCTTTCCTGATTCTTGGTACCTACGTGTAAATCACTTACACGCTAAGTCATAGACTTAGTGAGGCAATAAATGAATATGCAACAATAAACTTATGAATGTTCATACTTACAATTGGATCATGACATTTCAATATGCATGTATCTATCGCACGATAACATATAATGCACATACGAAACTTACCTTCTTGTATCACTTTCACTGTAAATCGGTATTTCAATTGCATAGCCCATGCATATTATTGAGATTAGAGGTATGTGAGTGCGTTGAGGTTGTGCACTAATGCTGTCACCACAGCTCGTATCTATTCCATCATGGGGCACCGAACCTTAGTTCAGTATTCGTCCCGTAGGACTCCTACATCCCGAAGGACTACGTCCCGAAGGACTACATCCCGAAGGACTACGTCCCGAAGGACTATTATACCCTCGACTCTTGGCATGCCAATTACACCTATAATTATCATATCGTATACTATGGGCATTATTCTTATATTTCATATGTTCATGTACTCATGTCATTTCTCTTGTGATCATGTAGCTCATGTCACTTCATATCATGTTCTCATATCACATATCATATCACATGAACATATATATGTCTTATGCATGTATCACAATAATTATCATGTATGCATATTCACAACTACTGTATTATAAAAATCAACATAGGGATTAGACTTATCACAAGTCTTATTCCATTATAATATACATATAGTATGCACTCACCTTAGCTTTGCTTTGATTCGATTATAATCCTTTGATCGTTCCGGAATAAGCTTACTTTTAGTATCTACATAATCGCACATGGATCTATATCAGTATTATAACTAATATACTCTAATGATTCACTCTTTAGACTAAGAGAAAAGTCAATTTCATCTTTTAATGAAGGTATGCATCGATGCACTACTAATGCATCGGTGCATAAAAGGTATTCGATGTAGTATTATTGTTGGGATGCATCGATGCACTCCTTATGCATCGATGCACCAATTGCATTTGATGTTTCATTATTAATGGGATGCATCGATGCACTACTTATGCATCGATGCATGAATTTCATTCGATGTCTTTATTTTAAAAGAGTGCATCGATGCACTACCAATGCATCAGTGCACATTCAAACAATTTCTGGGTTTTAACCTTGATGCATCTAAACCAATTTATACTCATTTATTTCATCTTAAACCTTCAAATCCTATCCTTCACATGTAATTCAAGAATTACATTAATAAATCAACATGTTTGAATTCCGTTTTTAACACTTCGTATATCTTAACTATATTGATGACAAGTCAAATATAACTTTCAATTCTAGTTATGAACTCTATTCCAAGATTTCATTTAAGAACTTCAAATCTTAAATCTCTCCTAACTCAATCATCCTTCGATGTTAAGATAACTTAAGCTTTCCTTAAGCTTAATTATCATCTAATAATCAAAACCCAATATTAAATTTAACAAGAAACTCAATAATCAGAATTCTTACCTTTGCTTTGGTTCACACGTACAAGGAAGAAAGAAGAAGAAGATAACTCTGGAAGGCTTTGGTGTTCTCTTCTTTTCATCCCACTTGTACTCATATATATCCTTATCCCTTCTTTAATTAATTTTCCTTGCAAATGACTCTTTTGCCCTTCCATTCCTTCTTCTTTCAATTCAATCCTACACAATAATTTACATATAAATCTTTATACTATTCATTCATTCTATTTTAATCACCAAAATCTGAAACTTTCCAATTTAGTTACTAACCCGGTATTGAGGATGTTACAACTCTCCCCCTTAAGAAAATTCGTCCTCAAATTTTCATTATGCAAAGAGGTAGGGGTACTTAATCCTCATGTCCTCTTCACATTCCCATGTTGCTTCCTCTACTTTGTGATTCCTCTACAAGACCTTAACCAATGGAATAGTCTTGTTCCTTAGTTGCTTGACTTCATGTACTAATATTTGAACAGGTTTTTCCTCATAAGTTAAATCTGGTCGGACTTCAATTTCTTCAGGAGTCACAATGTGAGATGCATCAGATCGATATTTCCTAAGCATTGAGACATGAAAGACATTGTGTATCTTTTCCATTTCAGGTGGCAAAAATAACTGATATGCTACTGATCCTACCCTCTTAGTAATCTCATAAGGTCCAATGAACCGAGGACTCAACTTTCCTTTACGTCCAAACCTCAATATTTTCTTCCACGGAGACACTTTCAAGAACACTTTATCTCTGACTTGAAATTCAATTTCTTTCCTTTTTAAATCAGCATACGATTTCTGTCTATCAGCTGCAGCTTTCAAATTATTTTGAATTACTTGAACTTTTTCTTCTGTATTCTGAATCAATTCAGGATCAATAACTTCTCGATCCTTAAGTTCATACCAGTTCAAGGGCGTACGACATCTTCTTCCGTATAGAGCTTCATAGGGAGCCATTTTGATGCTTGACTGATAACTATTGTTGTATGCAAATTCAGCAACTGGTAAATACCTTTCCCACGATCCTTTGAATTCAATGACACAAGCTCTTAGCATATCCTCCAGAATTTGAATAGTTCGCTCGGATTGACCATCAGTTTGAGGATGAAACGTTGTACTGAAGTTTAACCGAGTTTCCAATGCTCTATGTAATGACTTCCAAAACCGTGATGTGAATCTAGGATCCCGATCAGAAACTATGGAAATGGGTACACCATGCAACCGTATAATCTCTCTAATATACAATTCAACATACCTATCCATGGAGAAATCAATTCGTACTGGAATAAAATGGGCTGACTTAGTCAATCTATCCACGATTACCCAGATTGAATCCTTTTTGTTCAGAGTTAAAGGCAAACCCGTCACAAAATCCATCGTTATGTTTTCCTATTTCCATTGAGGAATTGAAATTGGTTGTAACAATCCTGACGGAACTTGATGTTCAGCTTTGATTTGTTAACAATTCAAACACTTTGATACAAATTCCGAAATGTCTTTCTTCATTCCCGGCCACCAATATCGACTCTTAAGATCCATATACATTTCGTTCCCTCCCAGATGCATTGTCAATGGACTACAATGAGCTTCCGTTAACAAATCATTCTTTAATTCATCATCATCCGGAATTACTAATCTTTCTTGATAATATAAGTTCTCATCAGACTTAATTTCATAATCCGTACCCTCTCCATTCTTTATCTGTTGTATCCTCTTTAAACATTTTTCATCTTTAACTTGCAATTCTTTAATTCGATTTAGCCAAACGGGCTTGACTGTCAATTCTGCACAAATTGCACCATCTTCTCTTAACGATAATCTAGCATCAAGAGTTCGCAAAGCTGCAACCGTCTTTCGACTCAAGGCATCAGCTACCACATTTGCCTTTCCAGGATGGAAATCAATCACCACATCATAATCCTTGAGAAATTCCACCCATCTTCTTTGTCTTAAATTCAACTCTTTTTGAGTCATCAAGTATTTTAAGCTCTTATGATCCGTATACAAGTAGCACTTTTCACCATACAAGTAGTGACGCCAGATTTTTAAAGCAAACACTACTGCTGCCATCTCTAGGTCGTGTGTTGGATAATTTTTCTCATGCGGTTTTAGTTGTCTCGAAACATAGGCTACCACTTTGCCTTTTTCCATTAATACGCATCCCAAACCACTATGAG